CGTTCTTTCGTATCTTGCATCTTATCTGGCTTTTCTCTAAGTTGAGTTCTCTTTAACTGCACTAGTAATCTTAAAGCAGGAGTTAAATCTGATATCTACTTAGTAAGCCTTAGAAATAGACAATACATTCTTAAATAGTAGAAAACCCATCGTAAACTCCATCATTAAACAACTGGACCCAAGTTTTAAATAACATCTCAAACACTGATATATGATATTCTCAACCTTTCATTTCACTAATTCTTGGAAAAATTTCAATTATTTCCCAATTTAAAGCTCAGGGTACTACTTTTCTTCTTCCCAAATCTTTACCTTATGTCATGAGTTAAACTATTCTCTTATCTAAGTCTTTCCCTATAATACTTAATGACTTTCTTCTGCAATTTTCATCCCAATAAACAAGTCTTTGGAATCCGCTTATATGACCTTAATTATCATCACATATATCTAGTTTTGATATGTCAACTCCGTGAAAATAAATGATTATCCAAGTTCCCTCTAATGAAGAAACCATAGTTGATAGCCTCTCTTCTGAACTGGTATTCATAGTGTCTCGCATTCCATTAAAAGAAGTCGCGCAATATAATTTAGTTCCTATAACTAATTCAGAGATAGATACTCAAATTACACCATATAAATAACAGTCCACTCTAAATACAATTTTATAAATCTATCTCGTGAAATGACTATATCATTTGGAAAGGATCTTGTAACCTTTATCATTTTGTCAACAATGATGCAAATACCATTTTGACTCCATTTTGTGTACTCGGAACCCCAAGCAAAATATTCGAGGGTAGCTACTTCCATTCTAAATAAACCATATCTGCAAAAATTCTATTATTCATGATTTTCTAAAATTCTAATTATCCCAACAACAATTGAGATAGCTCAATATGGTGTTTTTTTTTTTACACTCCCATAAAATTCCTTTTTTCTTTCTTTCTTTCTTCCCTTCTCTTCTCCTTTTCTTTCTTCTCTCGCTCCCTCTTACTCTCTCTCGATTCTTCTCCCATTTTTCCCAAAAATAATGAGAAAATGTATAATTTAATTGGTTAGCTATTGAATAATTGCAAGTCAAGTCCCCCATCTTCATACAATATCGTATTTAGTCATCTCATTTCCCATAATAGAAGCTAAACCCTTGGATTCT